TTTTAATCATGGAATTAAATGTGGTGAGTTTTTGTAATTTTCACCCAGACAATTTTTATGTCATGAAGTTAAGAATGTGTGAAGTTAATTCCAATGAATATTTCTTCATAATATCAACTTTCACTGATGTGCTGTTTGTTATAGTATTGACAATTCATAACCAATACAATAAGGACATCTTTTTATCAATTGCTCACATTATTCTTCTCCATGCTCAAGTTTATCCAACATAGCAAATGAACATTAATTCACGTCTACTTCAAATATTATTTCATTAGACAATAGTTCAATTTAAATTATATAATTCAATTATTTGGTCTTGTATATTTTATTCACAAAAAAATGATTTTTGAGCATTATACATAAGTATTTTGAAATTTCACTTCTCAAAAATAAAAATGATACAATAACTTAAACAGAGAGTTAAATATGCATGACAATGTAAGTTATAATAAAATAATCAAAATGTATCTCCTTTATAATAACAAGTCTCACTAATTTTTACTATAGAATTAGTCAAATAATAACAACTAACATAACAATAAAACTTTATTATAACCAAGTTCATTGTATTTGTCATTTAGTTAAAATCATAATAATTATTTCATTCCAACAACTGTGAATATAACACGTAGATTAAAGAATTCTATCACACACTACAAAAGATGGAATAATAAAGTTGGATAATGACAATAATTGAATATAATTAAATCAAAATATAACATAATAATACTAATTTTAAAAATAAAAAAGACTTATAAAAATTCAATTAGAATAAGCAATCAAAATATTCGTGACATTACCAATAAATGTATTTAATTCTAAATAATCCTATCAACATTAAATACATTGAAACTAACTTTTATTTCATTAAAATATTAAGAGTTTGAATAACCCATACCACTAAATATTTAATGAATCAAAAGTAAAATGTAAATGATGAAAAAGAATAAATACATTCTTTCTTATCTTAAAAATAAACTCTCTTAAATATTTTTCTCTGCTTATTAAATAATCATTTAACACTCATAAAATTTAAGCTTCCAAGTCCAAATTAATCCTTTCACTTGTTAAACAATAATTGATTAAATATTTTTTGTTATAATGTACAATTACGTATTTTGATAATCTTTCAATCTAAACACAGACAAATTAATTATGTGTTAATAAACCACAGTCCAAAAGAAATAAATTCAAGATATGTGGGATGAACTTCAATGACATATCCCTTTAATATAAAAAATGGATAGAGAATTGTCTATAACAAAAAATTTGAATCAACACTCTAAATTATTTTGGAGGTTGTTTTGTCGTTGAAGATGAAAGAGCTGATATTAGCCTGAAATTTTTAAACCCATTTTTAAACTCTGTTGTTAGTGCATGAATCTTATTTTGATTAGCAGATAATGAAGAAGTTTTAGAAGTTAGTTTTTTTGTAACAGAATATATAGAAGCACACCACCTAGCTGAGCCAATAGTATGCATCATTGAAAACTGAGGATTAAGAAGTTGACCAAGTTCCTTAAATGACATAAATGAAGAATATCCTTTTTTATCCGAAAGATGACAGTTGTTAATAATCGTTTCAAGGCAAGTACGAAGCCCAACTTTCTTATGGATTAATTCAAGTATTTCATTTCCTGAAACTGAAAGGTCAACAACAAAACCTCTTATCTCTTTATTGAATGTATCTACAATAACAATCTTTGCATTAGAAGTATCACAAATCTCTTCAATAGATTTCTTGCATTGAACAGCCATCCCAAAAGATCGAAGTTTTGAAGATATGTAAAGAAGAAGAGACGAATTTGTTCTAACAGATATTTGAGGAACTAATATAATTTTTTGGTTACTAGAATGAAATTGAGCTCGTTTTTGCAGTGTTAAAGGAGTACGAAAAGGTAATTGAGATGAATAGCGAAGAAGAGGATTTGTTGGTATTCGTAACGGCTTATAATTCAAAGACTTTTCTATTGGTTGGTCAAGAAAATAAGACAAATCAACACAACTAAAGTTAAAATAAGAAAGGTTATCATTACTTGGTTCTAATAAGAGAAATACCAACTGTGCAAGAGCAGTCGAGTAAATCTTTTTGCGAGGAAATTGGAAATACAACTCATTTTGATCAGCATAAAATGTACTAGAAGGATAAGACGGCTGTGAGAGAAAGCATTCACCCTGTAGTTGAGTAATATACTTTGTTTTCATCAAAGACGGAGGAAGACACGGATGGATGAGAGAAGGAATTGATGTAGTTAGAATAAAACGATAATCCGTTTGAGAAGAAGTTCCGTATTTAACAGTAAGGTAAGAAGAAAGAACAAGACTAGGAAAAGTATCCAATAAGTACTTTATATTTTCAGGAAGTGCCTTGAAGAAATTGAGCGAAGTTTGGAAAGGGAAGGGAGATGACAAATAAGAACGTAATAATTGATCGAGCAAAGGAGAACAACGAGACAACGAAGAAGAAGTGGTAGAGAGAAATTCATGTACAGAAGAAATTGAAAAGGGAATCAATAATAAAGATGGGACTGACAAGATATCTTTTTGAAAAAAAGAAGAAATACCGTTAAAAGGTACTTCACGGTGAAGAGAAGGAATAACAGGGTCTGTCATAATAGTTGTACGAGGAAAGAGAAAGTCAATAAAAGCAATTTCATAACTTTCAGGATTAATAAATATAGTGTCAGCGCTTAAATTGCCATGATAAACACCATTTGAGTGGAGAATTGAAAGAGATTCAATTATTTGTCTAACAATACTAATCAAAATTGATTCCGTCATTTGTGATGACTTAAAAAAACAAGTCAAAGAAATGGGGGTAGAAGGGAGAGAGTAACGAATAACTGGAGTAGGTTGTGTTGAAACTAAGTAAACGTGGTGAGCTGGTGTTGAAATGCTATCAATACGGTCATACCTATCTTTGCTAAAGAAAGATATTTTTGAAAAGTAGTAATAACAATGATCGATAGTGTTGTAGTAGATATTAATATCAGAAGAAGGGATATAAGTTTTAGGAATATCCATTAATTCATCTTTATAATTGATTAATTTATAGATCCCGAAATGAAAAACAAGAAAAATGGGATATAAAACATATATAAGAAAAGTTGTTATTCAAAGAAGTTCAAATACAAAAAGAAATGGGATAAGAAAGAAGGAGAAAGAATAGAGAAGAAAAGAAAAGAAAAGAAGTTGAAAAGAGGTGCAGAAGAAAAAATACAAGAGTCTTAATCCATCTATTTAATGAATAATGATCAAGTGTGAACATAAAATCAAGAAAAAAGAAAAAAAGTGACCAATGAGAAAGAAGATAAAAAGATAAAAATAGTTGAGGGAACAAATAAAAGGAGATCGGAACTAGAGAAGAAGAAGGATAATAAATATGGGAGAAGTAGTCAAAAGAACGGAACGAAGTGAGATTCTAAAAGAAAGGAAAAGGAGTAGTCGAAATGATGAGACGATCAATTTTGATGCTATGATATATTTATTAGTTAAAGAAGGATATGAAGTAATTGTTAAAAGGTCAAAAAAGACAAGTAAAACAATTAAAATGCTTCTTCCAGAAAGTATTAGTAAAAATGGAAATGTTCTGAAAGTTCAAGATATTTGTTTACTTTCAAACACTCTTTTAAACACACTTGGATATACAAGAATAGACTCTGAAAGAATTAAAGAAATGACAAAGAAACAAGCGAAACGTACACAAGAAGCACAAATAAATAATGGAGTTATTTCATTACTTGTTAATGAAGGATATACATTTTCTGAGAAGAAAGTTAAAACAGCACATTTGACTGAAAGACTCATTAGAATTACAAGTGTTTGTAAAGATGGTGAAATATTTGGAAGAGATGAATTAATTGAAATGGGGAAATTAACTCTTCGTCTTATGGAGCAACATCAAACTGATACTCTTATTCAATTTAATCAAAACACATTATTTAATTCACCATCTTCTTTCCTTTCTTTTACTAATCTTCCACTATCATCCTCAAATGTGATTCTACCACCAACACAACCTATAAACTTAAATTATCTCCATGACATTCCTTATTTCAATCTATTAAATTATGACTATTCTTATGACAACACTGATCTTATCCCTTTCTATTCTTTTCTTCCTTTTTAATTTTATTTGTTTTTTCTTTCTTTATCTTTATTAAAATTTTAAACATTTCAATAATTTGGATATACCTAAGGAAAGAAAAAAGCTTATTGTAATTCTTTATTATCAAAGTCCAAAGAAATGCTTTGTGGTGTTTATTAGATATAAATTAATAATAATTATTAACAGAAAATAGAGAAGAAACCCTTAAAAAAAAAATAGGTTTTAGAAAACAACTAAAAAGTAAGAGTGTGACTTTACAATGGCTAGACGAACAAAGAAAGTAGGTATTGTTGGTAAATACGGAACAAGATATGGTGCTTCTCTTCGTAAAGTCATCAAGAAAATTGAAATTGCACAACACTCTAAATATGTTTGTCCATTCTGTTGTAAAGAAGCAGTAAGAAGAACAGCATGTGGAATTTGGGAATGCAAAGGATGTAAGAAACAAATTGCAGGAGGAGCATACACTTTGTCAACCATTTCAGGAGCCACAGTTAGATCAACTGTTAGAAGATTAAGAGATGCTAAGAATTCTCAATAAGTGTGTTAGAAAGTGGTGATTTAAATCTTCTGTATTAAGTTTTGTGTTATATTTTTAAGAAGATAAAATTTTTCAGAGAGAAAGGATAAGAAGAAGAAAAATAAAAACAAAATAAGTTTTAATGAAGAAAAGAAACAATACATAGAAGTGAAACATTTTAAGTTAATAAATTCATCTTTTTCTCTTTTATTTCATTCATACACATAATATTTAAATGATAATAAACGTACATAAATTAACAACACACATTTTGTGAATGTGAATCATTTAATTCGTGTTGGAGTTGTTCATCACTTTCATCATCATTTGAAATATGTAACTTACTAGCAATAGTTTCAAAAACATTTGAAACACCATCACCAGTTTTAGCAGAAATAAGACACCAAGAACAATGTAGTTCATTAGCTAAAGCTTTTATTTCTTGCTGCGTGACAGATGGTTGAGGTAAATCATTTTTATTTCCAACAATAATAATAGCAACATCCATACCAACCGTATTAACAAGACTGTTGTACCACGTTTTGATGTTATAAAAACTGTCACGATTATCTAAACCAAAAACAATTAAACAACCATTTGTGTTTCTATAATACATTGACACTAAAGAACGATATCGTTCTTGACTTGCTGTATCCCATAAAGCAACTTGTGTCATTTTGCCATCAATAAGAAACTCATGCATATAAAAATTAGCACCAACAGTAGACTCGGTTGTTGGTGAAAATGTGTTATTAATAAATCTGGAAAGAAGGCTCGTTTTTCCAACACCAGAATCTCCTATTAATGATACTTTAACTTGTTTCATCTTCTTTCTTTTTCTATTAGTTCTTATTTTCTTAAAATTTTCTTACTTTGTACATTCTCTTTTATTTTGTTAAAAATTACCTCTTAAAAGATAATACAAAAATTAGCACAAATCTTCCCATTTGTTATTAACACTTCTTAGTTCACATAACCCATTATGCAAAGGATATAATGTTTCTTGAGAATTAATAATCAAGGATAGGTTTGTTACTTTTTTATTTATTCTTTTTTATATCCTTTAACCTGGTTTTTACTAATCTTTATTCTTTTCATTTTTCTTGTTATTCTAAAAATTTTTTTATTTCTTTTCTATCCTTTTCTTTTCATGAATTTGATTCAATTGATTTTAATAATCCTCCAAAATGTATTAATAATGATAAAATGGTTATAACTTACAATAAAGGTTTATTTGTTAGTGACAATTCATTCAATAATAGAAGATAATATATATAATATCAAAATATGAAAGAAAAGAAAGGATATATCATAGATGTTGTTATATGTCAAGATAATAATTTAGAATTAAATTAAATTCATAAAATAAATAAGTACAAAGAATTACAAGAGAAAATAAGAAATAATAGAGAAATAATATATGTAGAAATAATACTTGTTATATTATCAATAAATGGATTAATTCACAAAGAGTCAGCAAGAAGATTAAAAGTACTGAAATTATAATTAGACTTCCCCCAATATCCTACGAACAATAATTATAAAAAAGTATGAAAGACTTAATGTTTTACACATTCAATTCTGACAGCACAATAGAAGAAGAACAATCTAATGCGAGCACGCTAGAAATTAACTCTATTACACCAATAGAGCATATTGAAGAAAGTGAAATAAACACTTCTCAATATGAAGAAAATCCAATAATGGATATATCTAATATTTGTTTTTTTTTTCTTCTCCATCCTTTTCTTTTCTCTTATTCATATTCTTCCTTTCTTTTTTACATTATTATTTTATTCACTCTATTAACTTAATTATTACTTCCTTTTTGAGTTATTCATTTTATTTTCTTTTTACTGTGTAATGAGGAGAAAATTGTTATGTAAAAACACCAATAAACAGTTATAATAATTACAACAAATAACATTTGAATAATTATCAAAATGGAAGAATGACATTTTTGAAAGAATAATTGATTTGATATTTAACAATGAAACAAAGATATTTAAGAATATTGATTATTAAAATTGTATATTCTCAATAAAATGGTTAAGAAAGTCAATAAATAGAAGAGACAATTAAATGATAAATATAATGGAAACACATGACAGTAACTGATGATAGTAAAAGAATAATGTACTAAAATAGAGAAAGAAGGTTAATATTTATAAATGAAAATAAATGGATAGATATAAATAATAAACTATCAATGAGAGATAAATGAAATAAGATAAATACAAAATAAGCATATAGAAAAGAGAGAAGATATGGAATGGAGTTAATAAAAGAAGCAAAAAGAATAATGAAAGGTATATTGAATTAAAAATGATAACGATGTACAAAAGAAAAAGAAGAAGTAAAAGATATGATGTAGTACAGAAAAAAATGAATAAAAAGAGAAAAAAAGAAAATGAAATACAGAATAAAGGAAATAAATAACAAATAATAAGAATAAAGAAGAATAGACTAATGGAAATAAATTACAATAACAAAAGAAAGATATTAATAACATTTCTATCAATAATAATTAAATTAAATGAGGAATTCTTTTCAATAAACAAACAACAATAATGAAGAAAGAGTGAAAATAAAAAATATAGAAATAAAATAGAAGAGATACAATTTATAATATAGTATAATATAATATCAAAAACCAAGAATGATAAATAATTAAAATAAAAAAAATGAATAATATGTTTATTTCATTATATCAAATTGAAATATAATTATGAATTACTAACAATCAAACAACTAATAGAATAAAATACAATAAATTGAAGAAAAGAACGTTTGTTGATAAAATAAGATTTAAAATAACAACAAATATTTAATAAATAATAATAAATATATAACATTCAAACAAATTATACACATAAGAATATGATTAATACAAATAAAAAAGAAATAAATGAAAAATTCAATTAATATTTATATTCAACTAATACAGACCAAAATAGAAATTAAAAGATAGAATAGAAAAAGAGTTAAAAGGAGAATAGTACTGATTGAATATTTGAAAACAGAAATAAGAAATAAGTGAAAAATCAATAAAAGAAAATGTATTATCAATTTGGATAGAATAAAAATAAAAGAAAAATAACACAAGAAAATAGTTTAAAGTGAATAAATACAAATATAGTTGTATATTCCAATAGTAATTATAAGAAATACAAGAAATGTATTACTAACTTAATTTATAAAAGTTGATTTAGCATATAATGAAAAAAAACTTGAAATATTATATAAATAGTACAACAAATATCATACATACTATTAATATACAGAATAATGAAAAAGAGACAAAAGGATTGATATATCGAAGAGAAGTAATAATTATTTCAATAATAAGGAAATATCTTGAAGAAATACAAAATATCATTTTACAATATCAACTTCATTGAATAACATCAACATTTTGTTCAATTACATTTCATTATAATAATGAATTGTGAATAGAAATATTATGAAATAGTATACAAAAAAATACACACTGATATAGACTATGTTCAAAATGAAAATACAACATCAACACATTTGAATGAATTAAATAATACAAAAATTAGAAGAGAAAGTAATGAATATGAAGATAAAACAATAGGAAATAATCCAATTGTAATAAGTAATGTATTGAATTATTCTTAAATTAACAATAAGAAATGAAATAAACATATGAATAATACAAATGAGAGATAATATATAATAATTATAATGATGGCAGTTTTGGTGATGTAAATACGTAATAAAATACATCAGTTAAATAATCAAATCAATGAGTGAGATACAATGATCATAACAACAGTAATTATAATATTATAACTTCTCAAAACAATGAAAATTGAATATAACAATAAATGTCATTAATTTGACTACATTTATAAGTAAAAAAAAGGCAAATTCCACGTGTCTTAAACAGCCAACCAAATGATGTTTCATAAACTTTTATATTCTTTTAAAAAATAAATGTAATACAAAGTATTAACCATCTTAAAAATAAAAACTAAAAATTTTATTCTAAGAATTGAGGGAATGAACAAGTTAAAGAAAATGATCAAGGAACAAACTCCTACAAATGTAACTCCAGAAAAAACACCATCACCTAATGGAGACGGACAACAAAGTGGAATTAGTAAAGTCGCTCGTGCTAGACTTCAAAAAGATTTTGCTGAGTATGAACCAATTCCTGGTTGTATATTTGAACAAGTAGATAAGAACGATATTACTAAGTTCAAACTCTCAATTTCTCCTTTAGAAGGATATTATCAAGGAGGAAAATGGTCATTTTTGTTTGAATGCCCACGTGATTATCCTAATAATCCACCTAAAGTTACTTGTGTTACTCCAATTTATCATCCAAACATTGATTTAGAAGGTCATGTCTGTTTGTCTACTCTTAGATTAGATAAAGACTGGTCACCAGTTTCTACTTTAAATCACGTTGTATGTGGTTTACTTTCATTGTTCCTTGAACCTAATCCAGATGATCCATTAAACACTGAAGCTGGAGAAACAATGAAACGAGACATCAATGAATTTGTCAGACTTGTCAATAAGACTATGAAAGGAGGACGCTTTTTCGGTAAAGATTTCCCACGTTTCAAATGAATTTTTTCTTGTTGTTTTTATTTTCAATTTGAGTTTTTGAACATTCTTTATTTCTTCACAATTACTTTAAAATTATATTTCACAATAGCCAAACTTTTGTTTATTTTGTTCTACAAAAATTACGGTAAACCATTATTCAATTCAGCTATTCTCTCCTTCTTATTAGACATTGGTTAGTTGAAGTGAATTAAATATATTAAATAGGTGTAGTTATAAAGATATGAATTTAAAATAAAACAATAACATTACTTTATTTAGTAAGTTTGTTTTATTCAATTATTGGTTTTAAAGAATTAATATAAAGAAAGGATGTGGTATGAAATAATATTAAAAAAACATTTTTAGTTGTAAGTTACAAATAAAAGATATTATTTGGTTAAAATTGAATTTGGTAATATTGTTGTATTAATATTTAGTCATGTTTTACTGAAGTGAAGTATTAAAATTTGCAGATATGTAATCATTTTCAATGCATTTGTTATATTCAAATATATTAAGTTTAATACAATGTCATAAAGAATAAGAAGAGAATATTGCATCAATACAACATTTAATTTGTTATTAAATGCATTTCTAGTATTAGTATATTACGTCTATAATAAGAATAAATATTTATGTTAGTTGTCATTTGAGTAATAGCAGTATTATTTCTTGAATAATAGTTAAGTGATGTTATTACTCTCAAATAATTGTTTAAAGAAATCACTAAACCAAATAAGGTATTTTCTTGTCTCATCTATTCATCTAAAAATGTATACTGATTGTTTAGAAGAATTTGATACATTAATAAATAAAGTTAATTTTCTTTATTGAATTAAATGAATATTTGTTTAATTTAATGTATTCAATTAATGAGTCGTTTCGTTAAGACAGTATTTCTCAATTGCCTTAGCAACCCCACTGTTTTCACATCTGTCTGTTACTAATCTACCTTCTTTTACTCGATCCTCTGCTTGACCCATAACCACAGGATATCCTACAACATCAAGCATTGGAACATCATTCATAGCATCTCCAATAGCCATGACATCTTTTAAATCAATACCAAGCATTTTAGCAAGTGTTTTGACGGCATGTCCTTTTGTTGCATCACTCTTAGTGATTTCGATGAATGTAGATTGTGATTCTGTAACAACAATACCATCAATGCCAGTGAATAATTGCATCCATTTCATCTTTTCTTCTTTAGAATGAGCTATTGATAATATTTTAGTCACTTTATTTAGATGAAAAACATTCTCTCCTATTTCTTGTGCTTTAACACCAATTTTCTTTTCATAAGACTCGGTTAAGTCTATTTTTCTTTCTACAAAATATTCATCTCTGATATAGAATTGTGCATAGACATTGTTCTCTTTAATAATTTTATTGATTTTTTTCAATTGTTCTTCATTAATTTCACTCTCAAAGACTATTTCATTTCCATGACATATCATTGCACCATTATAACAAATTAAATATTCATTTTGTATCCCAACTTGTTCTGCAACTTTTATCGCACTATTTCTCATTCTTCCTGTTGAAATACAAACATAAATTCCTTTTTTAAGTGCTTTTTGAATAGTATTAATGTTTTCTTGTGGAATATAAAAGTGTTCAGGATTTGATGTATCCATTAATGTTCCATCAATGTCAATACAAACCAATTGTGCCATTTGATTTTTAAAGTTCTCTTTCCTTACAAGGGGAGAGTTTTGATAATGAATGATATGAAATGTGACAATATAATCTTATTTAATTTAAAATCTGAAACACTAAGAGTCTTACTCACTTTATTTAAGAAAAGAATGTGATAATTTTAAAGAGATTGTGGTAGTTGAAAAGAAAGTCTAAGAGAGGAAAGAGATAAAGTGTATTTAATATAAGAAATTTGGTTTGATAATATCAAAAAGCAAATAAAAAAGAAAATAATGTTATTATAAGAAACAGAAAAAAAAGTTCAAAGCAGAAAATTCTTTAAAAGAACTAAAAAATAATTATCAGAACAACATAAATAATGAGTCGTCCACAACGAGATAGTGTATTTTACTCAGAAGAAGAACAAGGGAATGAAGTTAAAAGAATATTACGAGTGATTGATACTGAATCAGAGATTATGAATGCTGCATTAAATAATAAAGATTTAAGTAAAGCAATTGGATGTTGTGATACAATAGGGAAAGAATTAAGAACTATTTCACTTGCACCAAAGAATTATTATCATCTTTATCTTGCTGCACAAAATGCATTTACACCATTATTTATGTTTTTAAAAGATGAATATGAAGGATCATTACTTGCATTATATGAACAAGTCCAATATATTTATTATGCAGTTCCAAGATTATATTTGATGTGTTGTGTAGGAGCAGCAGCTGTTAAAAGAAAAGCAGCAGCTGTAAATGCATTAATGAAAGATTTAGTTGAAATGTGTCGAGCGGTTCAACATCCAACAAAAGGATTATTTGTAAGAAGTTATTTAATGGATATGTTAAAAGATAAACTTCCAGATGGAAATACTACAGGAGAAGGAAATGGATGTTTAATGGATTCAGTTGATTTCTTATTAGTTAATTTTATTGAAATGAATAAATTAACAGTCAGACTTCAAGCAGGTGTCAGAGATAAAGAAAAGAAAGTTGATGAAGAACGACAACTTCTTCAATTAGTATCAAGAAATATTCAATTCTTAAGTAATTTAGAAGGAATGACATATGACATTTATAGAACTTCTATCATGCCAAGAGTGATGGATCAAATTATTTCTTGTGGTGATCTTCATGCACAAGAATTTTTAATGGATGTAGTTATATCTGCATTTCCACCTCATTATCATGTTGGTACGTTAGAAGAATTATTAAGATGTTTCCCATCTCTTCATAAACAACTTGACACTAGACCATTATTATTAAATTTAATGAAAGTACTTGTAAATTTCATTAAAAGTGAAGAAACTACTCTTGATCCATTAACACAACGAATTAATATATTCCAAATCTTTAGTACAATGTTAGTTAATATTTGTAAAAAGAGAAGTGTCATTGCAGCAGATTTCCTTGCTATTATGGCACAATTTGAAGAACTTCAAATGGCATGGTATAAAGATGATTATACTCGTTGTTATAAACAAACTGCAACAATTTATGAAATGGTTTCTAATTATTTACCAGAAACTGGATTAGATCAATATGCAATTACTCATTTAATGAGATTATTACAATTATCATTAACATCATTTGGAGTTAAAGAAATGTTAAATATTTATGGATTTAGAAATTCTATTTCATTACTTCCATATTCAAAAAGAAAAACACTTGCTAGTGATATTGTTACTCGATGTGTTACATTAAATGAACTCATTGAAACTAAAGAATATGCTAGTAATATGTTAGAAGTTATTATTGATTTAATTAGTAAAGTTCAAGATCAACCAGATGATATAAAAGAGGAAGAAATTGGAGTTGATGTAGAAAATGCATGTAGATTACTTCCATTAATTGGAGGAGATGCAGAAATGTTTGAAAGTATATTAACATTGTTTAAAGATAAGATGACAGGAGATGCTATTAGAATTAAATATCTTGCTGCGCCATTAATTTTTGTTGCACTTAGAAGAAGAAAAGAAGAAAAATCAGTCAAATTCATCTTTTCATTTGTATTAGCAATTTCAAAAATGGTAGCTAAACTTGAACATTATGTTTTAGCATTTAAACTTTCATTATATTGTGGTATTGGAGCATGTGAAGCTGGTATAGAAAAATACATGTATTTCTTTAAAAATGCATTTGAATTATATGAAAATATTCCAGAAAGTAAAATTCAACAAGAATGTATTACTATGGCAATTGGAGTCTTAACTACACTCAAATTAACAAAAGAAGATTTTATTGTTATTAGAGATATGATTATGAAAACAGTTAAATATCTAATTAAAACACCAATGAGATGTGAAATGATGTGTAAAATTGCTAGTTTAGATATTAAGAATAATAGTAATGTAGAAGATAAAGAACATTGTATTGACACTCTTAATAAAGCAAGAAAAGAAATAGAAAGAATTATTGATGAAGAAGAAAAAAAGAAAGTACTAATCATGTTTGTCAATTACTACATTTATTTCTTCCCATTACTTGACCAAATCACAGCTGATCAAATTACTCAAATAATTACCGAGATAAAAGAAAATAAAGAACAATTGGATGATGCTCAAACAACTATTTTCACTAATATAATGAATAGTATTACTATTTCAGCTCAAGAAAATACTAAGTTTGCTGACATTCAACTTTAACATGAACTTAAAACGGAGGTTTCTTCCTTACACTCACAATAACTTAATTTAAATTCCTTTGAGAAATCATTTTTAAGGATTTTTTTTATTTTTTTCAAATTTATTTTTGTTTTATTTCGCTTTTGTTTTTTTTTATCATTCAGATTAAATTCTTCTTTTATATGGAGAAAATATCCCATTTTTAAATAAAAATAATCATTACATGAAACAAAAGAGATTTAAAGAGAATAAACAATATTATAGATGAAATAATATACACTAAAAATGTTTAATACAAATAAGATGGTTCATAGATATGATCATTTTGAAAATAGACATTGGTACAATTGTTGGAACATATATGTTGTCATCAAAATTACTATTATCCTAATAGAAGATATAAACAATATCAATACAAAAACAGAAACAATCAGAAGATGATAAAAAGAAGTAAAAATAGTGTATTAAAGAAAAGAGATGAAAGAACTAAAGAATGGAAAGAGAAGACGAAATAATAAAAGAATTGATGGAAAGGATTGAAGAAGTTGAAAAGTTAGTAACAAGAATAAAAATAGGAAAAGAAGAAGAGAAAGAAATAGCAATGGAAAAGGAAGAAAAGAAGAAATAATACAAGAAGAAGTTAAAGAAACAGATGAAGAAGAAATAGAAGTAATTAAGAAAGAACAACAAAAAGAAATAGAAGATATAATAAAAGAGAAAGAAAAAGAAAAGAAAGCAAATGAAATAGAGAATAATAAACAAAGGATAAAAAAAAACAGAAGAACAAACAAAGAAAGAATTACAAGAACAAATAGATAGAAGTGTAGAAAATAATAAAATAAAGAGAGAAAGAAACACAAGAATGAATAGAAGAAGTATAAAAAGAGATGAATAGATAGAAGAAATACTTAGAGAAGAAGAAAATAATATTAAAGAAAGAAAAAGAGAGAAGAGAGATGAAAGAGACAAAACAAGGAACAATAAAAAGACAAACAACATCAGGAATAAAAAAATATGGAAAATATTTAGAAAGAATAGAAAAAGAGTAATGTAGTAGAAGAGAAACAAGAAATGATAGAACAAAAGGAAAAATGAAGAAGAAAGAAGAGAAACAAAAATAAGAAAATACATAAGTTATGGAATGAATAAATTAAATAATAAATTAAAAAAAAAAGAAAATAAGAAAATAAGAATGGAAGAACCAAGAAAATAAAGAAAGAATAACATAATTTTATTACAAAAGAAGAATATATCAAAATAAACAAAGAAATGAGATGGATTAAAAAGATATCATAAAACATGTTAATAAAATAGTAGAAGATATGAGAAGTAATACAGAAAATATAGAAAATGAAAGAATAAAAGAAATAATCAAAACAAAATGAACAATAAGATTGATACAGAATATATTGATGATTTAATAAGAAAAAGGAAAAGATAAAAAAGAAAGGAGTTAAATTTAGTATTATTTTCATAGTAATATATTTGATGAAATAATAAAATACAATGATAAGAAATGGGAATGGAAAGAAATATCAAAGAAATACAAAAAAAAAACAATTATAAAATAATATATATAATTGAAAATAAATAGAATATAAATTTATATGATATAAAAAGAATATAGGAGAAATAAACTAATGTAAAATAAAATACAAGATATATTAATATGAGGAAATTATAAAATAAGAAAGATACTAAGAATAAGAATATTACAAGAAGAAAATAATAAGAATAGAAGTGAATGAAGAAATAAAAGAAATAAGAAAGAAATTGAATTAAATAAAAAAGAAACAATTTTATTTTTGAATCAAATATATAATAAAGAAAGAAAAATAAATTTAGAAATGAGAGAAATAAAGAAATAATAGAAGAAAGTGAAGCAATAAAACTGAAAAGAGTAACAATAACAATAGAAGATATTGAAAAGGTAATAACTATAATACCATCATAGAATGCATCATGTATAAACACATTACAAGGATATTATCTAAAAAATTAGAAAGTAATAGAGATAAAATAAAGAATATATTTAATGAATGGATAGAAATACTAAAAACATTCACATTAGAAATGTTAAGAGGAAGAATAATTTTAATATATAAATGTGGAGATAATAAAAATCCAGAGAATTGTAGACAAATCACTTGTTTGAATATAATTATGAAAATATTCACAACAATTATAAAAATGAAGATGTAAGAATAACTAATAAAGAATGAAAATAAATTTAAAAATAATAAAAGTCAATATTGAAATAAGAAATTGAGTTTAGCAGCTAATGAATGAAATATAACGAATTTAATAGAAAGAAATAAAGAGAAACACAACATAAAAGATAATTAGAAACATTTTATGATAATAAAAAGCATCTGATAATGTAAATCACACATGGATAGAAGTTACATTAAAATACTTAAAAATGTAATTTCAAATAACACAAATAATAAAAAGTAAGAGTGAAAGATAGAGAATAAAAATATGATATAAATATAAAAAAGAAATATGAGAAGTCAAAATAAACAATGGTATTTTATAATATGACTATATTCTCTCTTATTCATATTCAAAATAAATATCATTTCTGATGTAATTATTTAAAATGAGAAATGACTAAATTAACACATGTATTATATATGGATGACATTAAAGTAACTAATGAAACAAAATGGAAATAATACATCAGAAAATAATTGAAACAAATGAATCAATAGAATTGAAATAAACATAAATGAATGTAGAATAGTAAAAAGATGAAATATAAGTATCACAGATAACACGAATATTATACAATTAGAAGATAAAGAATATACATATAAATAATTATGAAATGATCAAATTACAAGAAATGATGATACAGAATGTATATGGAAAATAATTAATAATATAAAAGAATGAATAGAAGAAATAAAAGAAATGATAATAATAAGAATTATATTAATAGAATAAATAAAGAAATAATACCAAAATTCACATATAGTGATTCTATTGTTTAATAACCAATTATGAAAATAAATGAAGTTGGCAAAATGATACGAAAAAATAAAAGAATGAAATATAATATGTACAAGAATGTGTACGAGTAGATTATATTTCAATCAAAATAAAATGGAAATTGAATAAAGAGTGTAAGATATGAATATGGTATTGAAAATAATAAGAACAAATATCTATTTCAAGTTGAAAAGAGGAGATAAAAGATGAGATATAATAAAGATAAATGAACAAAGAATTGAATATTGAATAGATTGTATAAAACAAAGAAAAGTTCAAAATAAATGAAGAAGAAAATAACAATAAGTGGAGAAATAAGAAAATAAGGAGTGAAAATTTAAAATGAATTGAAGGTAAAATGACAGACAAAAATAAAACAATTAAAGTATGGAAAACAATTAATAAAATATAATGAATGTATATTCAAATAAAGAAAAAGTAATAAATAATAAAATAAAGAAATTAATTTGGATAAATGAACAAAAATATGCAATGTGTAATATCTGTAATAAAATAGCAACAATAAATAATATCATTCTCAATTGTATAATCACTAAACAACCACAGATGAATAAACATGGTAAAATAGGATAATATATATGGAGAGATTTAAAAATTAAAGATGAAATATATAAAGATGAAGAAATAAAGAAAAAAAAAAGAAAAGAAGAAAAGAGAAAGATAAAATACTTATGGTTTGAATCGGCAACGAAAAAAAGCAAATAATTGAAAAAGAAGAGAATGAATGATATAAAAGAATAAAACTAAAGTAAGAAGTTTGATATGATGAAGAAAGAATAAAAGTAGAAAGGAGAGAAGATAAAAAGAAAGAAGATAAAGTGTAATAAAACAAAAGAGATGATAAAAGAAGAAAAGAAAGAAAAAAAATAAAGGATGCAAATTTTATTGAAACAAATAAAAAAAGAGCAAAATTTAATGATGCAAAAATTAATGATGCAAAATATTTAGCAACATATTTTATTGATGCAAAATATTTTGAAATAAAAATAAAT